TTGAAGCCATTGATCTGCTTTCATAAATTTGAGATATAGATGCAATATATTAATAATAAAATGGAAATGTAACCAACAAAAACTCTAATGTGTAAATTACATAAACTTGAGGTAAAAACCATATCTATTAACTGACTGATCATGTAGTTTAGCTGGAACAAATGTATGCAGTCTTTGATATACATGTGCAACCATTAGGTTATGATTATAAAGAAAAACTGTGATTTCTTTGAAAGCCATAATTTTTTTTCTTGTGCTGTTGACTCCCTTATTTATTTATTAATAATTTATTTATTTATTATGGCCACAAAAATGTTCTATTTTATTATACCAATAATGATAATAATATTTAAAAAACCCTGACATTAATAATAATAGTCACCATTTACCATGTTACATAGAGTAGATGTCAAGCACTGTATTAGGTGTTTACATTGTCTCACTTACATAATTTTTAATTTAAAATTTATAAAATATATGTACACAAAATTGTTTCAGCTTTTTTTCTTTTGAAAACACCAAGCCATCTGGGGATCACCTGAGTGATCACTGGTGACAAGCCGTGGGGAAGAGGGCACAGTTTAGAAAACACTGACTTAATGATTGTCTAGGGTAAGGAGAATCCTTTGTTGTTTTTATGCATGTACCACTTGCTGCCCTGGTTTAGCAATATTCTGGAAAGCCCATAACATTTTTTAAAAAAATTGGACAAATGGCTATTGGTAGGATGCTTTCCAATTGCAAAATGCTTTCACATTCATTATCTCAGTTGAAGTGGGCAGGGCAGGGATTATCTTGCTTAAGAGATATTTCCAAGGTGTTCAGTTAGAATGAAGGCTTTCTGTTCAGTTGCTTTTAGCAGATTTATTGGAGTGTGGTGCTATTCTTCTATAGTGACGTTTATTATTTAAAAAATAGCTCATCAAACTTTTTGCATAACAAATCATCCCAAAATGTATTGCCTTAAAACCAAAATTTATGATTTTACATGATGGTATTGGTTGGCAACCTGAGTGGTTCTTTTTTTTTTAATAAATTTATTTATTTATTTTTGGCTGTGTTGGGTCTTCGTTGCTGCACGTGGGCTTTCTCTAGTTGCGGCGAGCAGGGGGCTACTCTTCATTGTGGTGTGCGGGCTTCTCATGGTAGTGGCTTCTCTTGTTGTGGAGCATGGGCTCTAAGCGCATGGGTTTCAGTAGCTGTGGCACGTGGGCTCAGTAGTTACGGCACACGGGCTTAGTTGCTCGGCGGCACGTGGGATCTTCCTGTACCAGGGCTTGAACTTGTGTCCTCTGCATTGGCAGGCAGATTCTTAACCACTGCTCCACCAGGGAAGCCCAACCTGGGTGGTTCTTTTGCGGGTCTTTCTTGGAACCACTCATGTGGCTTCAGTTATATGATGATTTGACTGGGTTTGGAGGGTGCAGAACAGTCTCACAGGCATGTCTGGCAGTGGTGCTAGCTCTCATCTGGGGCACCTTGATTCTCTTGGGATCGTTCATAGCATGGGATCTTAGTGTTGCGAGAGTGTGAAAGTGGAAGCTGCAAAGCCTCTTATGTTGCATGTTTGCAAAGGTTTGGAATTTGTGCACTGTCTCCAGCATAGATTCAGAGGTGTGGAGAAACAGATTTCCAGCTCATGATGGGAGGAGGGGCAATGTCATGCCGCAAAGGGGCTTGGGCCCAGGGATCAGTGATCTGTTAGAGCCGTTATTATAAGGATCAGCCACAGCTGTTGTCTCTGAAGATTGTTCACTCCATTTTACATTTTCCTCCTCATGAGGACCCTTGAGAGAAATACCTGATTGGCTCTAGAACCAAGGATCCTTCTATTTATCCTAAGCAATTGGTTTCCTTTTATGTTTTGGGTAGTGTTAATTATGGTAACTGACCGGATTTCACTTTTTCCATTGGCTCTTAGGAAGATGAGTGCCAGATATGCAATTATTTCTCAAGGATATAATATATATTTATAAGGTTTAATCTCATTCTAGGTCCCAGGGCCCACTTAATACTTTACCTTTTTATTTCTTCATGAAATCCTCGTACCTTTTTTCTTTTTTAAATAAGTCTTTTATTTTAGAATAGTTTTAAATTCACAGAAAAATTGCAGAAACAGTACAGAGAGTTCCTATATGTCCTGTACCCAGTTCCCCTACCTATTGTAAGCATCTTACATTACTATGGTACATTTGCTGCAACTAAGGAACCAACATTGGTACATCATTATTAACCGAAGTCTATACTTTAGATATCCTTAGTTTACCTAATATCTTTTTGTCTGCTTTGGGATCTCATCTAGGTGACTACATTACAGTTCTGTGTCTTAGGGTCCTCTTGTCTGTGACAGTTTCTCAGACTTCCCTTGGTTTTGGTGTCCTTGGCAGTGTTGAGGGGTACGGGTCAGACATTTTGTAGAATTCCCCTCAATTGGGATTTGGCTGATTTGTTTTTCTCATGGTTAGACGGCAACAATAGGTTTTGGGGAAAACCACATTAGTAAAGTGCCATTCTCATCCCATCAAGGGTATATATTATCAATATGACCTCACCATTGTTAACCTTGATCACCTGGCTGAAGTGGTGTTTGCCAGGTTTCTTTACTATAAAATCACTCTTTTCCCCTTCTTTCCATGCTGTTATTTTTGGAAGAAGGTCGCTATGCACAACTTACACTTAAAGAGTGAGAAGTTGTGCTTCACCTCCTTGAGAGCAGAGTATTCATATAAATTATTTGGAATTCCTCTTTATGGGAGATTTATCTATTACCCTCATTTATTTATTTATTTATTCAATCATTTGTTTACGTCAGTATGGACTAATGGATATTTATTTTATTCTTTGTTTCATAATCCAATATTACATTATTTATTTTGTTGCTTAAATTGTTCCAATTTTGGTCATTGGGAGCTCTTTTAGTTGGCTCCTGTGTCCCTTTGACATAGTGTTTTGAGCACTTCTTTACTTTTCTGGTACTATGAAATGTTCCAGGCTCATCTTTTATATTCCCTACCTCCAGTCCTAGAATCAGCCATTTCTCAAGGAGGTCTACTTCCCTTTATTGGGGAATGGTATTAGGAACCAAAATTTGGGCACTAGTTTGCAGTTTAATTTGTGTTATCTCATCGCATTTTATGTACTCTCATAATTGGTCTATATTTCTTTCTGAAATAAAGTAGAAAAGAATAAATTAATAAACAAGGCACAGTTAAAAAGTAGATCCAAACCTTAAATCCAGATCTTTTCTCTCCAGGTCTTATTTTCCTTTGGCATAAACCAAGCCCAACAATATCTCAGATACGGAAAGAAAGAGACATACTACAGAGTTTACATTGTCTCTTGGCTTGACATTTGATAATCCCAGCCCAGTTAGTGTTGTCTCCTACTATTTTCCTATGCATATCCAGGAACACAGAAATCCTCATTACTCACTGAAAATGCCATCCACACTCATTTGAAAAATCAGTATTTTAACTAATATATAATGTATATAAATAAATAGTAAATTAAAACATTCTCCTTGTAAAAATAAAAAGATCTTAGCTAAGGACAAGCATTAGAACTAAATTTCCATGCAGTCTATATCGAGTGTTTATTTGTCTTTATGTACTTTGGGAAATTCTGCTCTTCCTGCTGTATTCAAATATCACATTATCCATGTCTCCTTGCCAATTTCCTTTATCCGAGTGGATTTCTCTTTCTATTGAACTCACAGTGATTTGTTTACACCTTATTTTACATGGCTTATTTTACATATTCTGCTGAATATGTGTCTGCACTGTCTACCAAATCATGAATTCCCTGAAGGTAGGACTCTGCTTTATGCATCTTTATGTTCCTCCAAAATCATACCATTTTCTGACGCATAGTCTGAGTTCAATAAATGTTTGTTAAATAAATGAAAGAAGGAATGAAATGTAAATTAGTGTATGCCTTATTTTCACAACTACATCAATATTATGAAAGGAGCACCGGACCAGTAGTTAGTAGATCTTGGTTTTACATTGAAGCTATTCATCACAGTGCTATTTGTAATATAAAAGGTCTAGAAAAACCCAAGTAATTTAATCATAACAGAACTGGTTTAGTAAACTATGGTAGACCCACTCAGTGGAATACTACACAACTGTAAACAAAAATGAATGAAGATGTATTGCTGTTAAGTAGAAAAAACAAGGAAGAAGAAAATGTATAATAAAAATATGATTATCTAACAAAGAATAAGCCTGAACCCAAACAAAACAAAACAACAACAAAGATTACCTATAGGAAGGGGGGAGAAAATTGGGTGGAGGGGACCACAATAGAAGCTAACTCTCTTTGAATATGTCTTGTGATATAGTTTTGACTTTGAAATCATGTAAATTTTTTTTTTTTTTTTTTTGCGGTACGCAGGCCTCTCACTGTTGTGGCCTCTCCCGTTGCGTAGCACAGGCTCCGTACGCGCAGGCTCAGCGGCCATGGCTCACGGGCCCAGCCGCTCCACGGCATGTGGGATCCTCCCGGACAGGGACACGAACCCGTGTCCCCTGCATCGGCAGGCGGACTCTCAACCACTGCGCCACCAGGGAAGCCCAAAATCATGTAAATTTAAAAAAATATATAAAACAAAATTAAAGATTTATAAAGCAATTTTATGTAAAGCAAAGTAATACAAATAAACCTAACTGTGTATTGAATTTGTGGTATAACCACACAGAGAGTATTTTTAAAAGTGAATTGAAAACATAGTAATTGGACTGTTCATCACTAGTGGGATATGTTTTGAGGACAAAATAATGGAAAAAAGGAGAAAAAATAAGATTCTTTGTAGTAATTATATTACTAGTAAGAATACTGGCATTGTTACTTTGAAACCATTATAAATATTATAGCATATATTTTATAGTGTGTGTGTGTGAGCACTATAGCATAAAAAAAAAAAAAAAAAAACCCATGAATCTGACCAAGCCCCTATATCTACTCCTCATTTTCAGGAAACACAGGGGCCAGAGAAACATATTAAGTGATACCAGGGAGATGGATGCAATCAACCAAATCCAGAATGTGGGAGAAAATGACAAGGTAATGACCAGTTTCTTCAGTAAACCAATTGCAAGGAAAACAAAAGGTGGGGGGTGATATACATGAAAAGAGACTTAAAAGACATACCAAACAAATTATTTGCAGTTTCTTCCATTGAAGGCTGGATTCTAATTTCTCTCCTCTTGAACTGGCCTTAGTGATTTGTTTGACCAATAGAATGTAGTAAAAATGATGTTCTGGGAATTCTGGAGCTAGATCATAAGAAGCCTGACAGATGTCACATGGGGCCTATTGTAACACTGTCTCTGGGATTCCTGAGCCTCCATGTAAGAAGTCTGAGTACTCTTACACCAGCTACTGGTGGATAGGCCAGCATGTGTAAGCACAGGTGCAGTCATGTGAATGACGCCATCTTGGATCCTCCAGACTAGCCATTGTCAATGTCACATGGACTAGAAGGATGGAGGAAAGGATGAGAAAGAAAACAAGAGATACATTTTAGGGAGTGTACAATTTGAAAGGCAACATTATTTTGTGATGAAATTGATACTTTATAAATTGTGTGGTGATACTGAGGAATTAATTTGTTTTATTTGAGGTTTGAAAAATAGTGAATGACAAGCAGTTGGTATGGGAAGAGAGAAAGAGAGTAAAAAAAGATGCATAATTATTTCTCCCTTTATGAATGTGCATTCCTGACAGCCCTGAGCACTAAGATTGTCCTGCAGGGAATATGATTAAAGTTACAAAGAGGAAAACAAAATAAGTAAGTCAGCTTTTGATCCTGCTGCTATATTTACCCACAAGAAAGGAGGCAGCTCTCAGGTGGGCCTTTGTCTAAGTAATGTCCTGAAATCCAAGTGTAAAAGAACAATATGAAACCTCAATTCTCCCAAACGGTTTGGGGCAAGTTCAGCCCTTGAGTCCCTGGGGGGCTTGGTTCCCAAGGAGACTAATCCCACTTGCTCAGCATTGAGTATCAGTGGGGCAAAAGAGCTCTAGTTTGGAGCTCTGCAGAGAGGCCCGAGTGCAGGCTGGAGCCAGGTCCCTTGGCCCCATAGGAAGTGAAATGGATTGATGTCAAAACCACTCAAGTGAGCGTGCTTGCTCAGGGTACAGGAGGAGGGGCCTGATGGGCTGGCAGGAGCTGGCCTCTTACTTTGCTGAAGCTCATTCCATCCGAAATAGAGCTCTTCCCCAAAGGAAAGGGGAAAAGCAACTGAGACCTTGAGGTGGGGTCCACATGTGCCATTTAGCTGCACATTGGAAGCACTAAGGATTTATTTTGGTCTCAGTTATAGAGCTATTTCAAGCAGAAGTTGCTCTTTGTTGCCTTCTTATCTATAGTTTTCCATAGACACCGTTGCTTTCGTATGACCATGTCCCTGCCCGGCTGTTCCCAGAGATACTACTTATTTGCTTGGCACACTCAAATGTATCATTTAATTCTTAGCTCAAATGGTACCTGTTTATGCAGGCTTCCCCAACTCCTCTGGTCAACTTGAAGGTCTTTTATCCCATCAATTATTGTACCTTTAATTTACTTCTATTAAGAAGTATCACATTATATTACAATGGCTTCTTTGCATGTCTGTCTGTCCACCAGAAAGGGTAGGAATCATGGCTTCTTATCTCTGTATCCACAGTACCAGCACAGTGCTGAGCACATTGTTGGTGTCAGTATCTTTCTGTTGAATGAATAAGTGATTGGATGGATATTTTATGCATAAGGATCAATTTTGTGAATCAGACTATAGAAATTCTAATCCATGAATATCTTATATTTGTATACAGAGCTTTATGGTTGACAAAAAACTTCCATTTCCATTATCTCACCGATTTTCACAATAGCCTCATCAAATTGATTCACATGATTATTCCCATTTTATAGATGGGAATATTGAGGTACAGGAGGTTAAGTGAATTTTTATAGTCAGCTGGATAATGAAAGGGTATATTGGACTCCAGTCTCAATCTCTGGTTCTAATTTTAGCACTCTCTCTATGATATTACACTGCTTTTTTCTGTTTCTATAACCTGCAAGTATAGCTGCTCTCTTTCATTTGGAAATAGTCACTCACTTTGTTGGAAGAAAGAACAAATGATGCTGATTTTATAGGGTGATATGTTGGTAAGAAGTAGGTGGAGCCTAAAGAATCAAAAACATGGGCATTTGTTGAGCTGCTTTTTTGTGCCAGGAACTTTCATATATAGCATCTCACAACAACCCTGAGGAGCTGAGATGATCTCCATTGAGCACATAAAACAAGCAAGATTCAGGGGTATTATTTGCCTCTTAGGATACCTCATTCTCACAAAGACTCTGAGAACAGTTAGGACCACTTCCATTTTTCAGATGAGGAAACTGAGCTTTAGGAAGGCAGATTGACTTGTCCAAGGGCACTCACCTAGCAACTGGCAGGCCAGAATTTGAACCTGTCCTCATCTAATGCCAAATCAATTTTGATGCTCAGAACTCCAATGATCTGGAAACAGACTTTTACATATTAATATTTTCATATTCTATTTATTTTGAATATGATTATGTGAGGGCTTAGCTAACTCTGTGGGGATTATGAGAGATTTTTCAGACTAAAGATTTCAATTAAACATATTGTCCTCTGCAATCTCGGGATTTGTAAGAGCTGCTCAGTTGAAAGAAAGTAAAAAAAAAAGAGTTAGTGCTCTTGGCTGCCAGACGCAGAGGTCAATGGAATGGTCCTGCCGAAAGGCAAAGGGAAGTGCTGACATCCACATCCGAGGGGGGAGAAACACAACTCAGTGACAAGCCCACACAATTCTCTGAGTGCAAGGTCACCAACAATAAAAAAAACAGTCGAATCATCGAGGACAAAATCTTGTGTGTTACTCAAACGAAAGGTACATTATAATTGAGCCAACTTGAGTTAAAAAAAAGTTTGTTTCAGCATGTTGGCTTGGGAAAAGTACTTCATCTCCCAAATGAAAAGTGTTCATCTGGCCCTTTCCTTTTGGTAAGGCTGTACCTTCAGGGTGCTCAAAAATGGTTTTGCTACATCCTGAAAAATGAGGCCTAAAGAAAAGAGTTTTGAAAGAGGTGGTCTAGGGACTTCCCTGGCAGTCCAGTGGTTAAGACTCTGGCTTCCACTGCACACGGCACCCAAAAAAACAGAAAAAAAAGAAAGAAAGAAAGAAAGAGATGGTGCCCCGGGTAGACTCTGCACCTAAACTATAATAACTTATTTAGAGAACACTTTATCACACACACAGTATCTTCATGCATGTTACCTCACTTAATCCTCATGAACACCCTCTGACTGAGGTGTTCTATCACATATTAGATGTTCATGTAAGGAAACATAGTCACCTTTTTGTGTTTTAGAGAAATAAGGGCAAATACTCATCACAGGCTATAGAACAGTCAATAGATAAGGATTTTCCACAGGATGTTTCCTTTAAAGATCACAAGTGCCCTGTGAGGTGGGCAACCTTACCTGCATTTAACATGAGTAAGCTAAGGCAGAGAGAGGTCAGCTGGTTTGCCCGAAGCTATGTACCCATCAGAGCAAGGATTTCAACCTGTCACAGAGCTATTGAGTGGTGAGGCTAAGACCAGAACCCGTCTTTTCTGAATCATCTTTCATGCTCTGCCAAATTACTCATTTCCTCTATCCCAAGAAACTCGCCCAGGTGAAAGTGGGTCTAAATGAACTTCAAGGTGATTCTTGAAATGCAACAGAAGTTCCAAAAGGGCAACTTAAATGGCATGACAGTTAGGGGAGAGGTTCCAGTCCATATTTTGTCCTAAGAGGCTGAGGGTTTTATACACACACAGGGCTGTTTCTCTAAAGCACCAGCTAGCTTAGAGGGAGTGACTTCCTTGCCTCCTGCTGTCTACTGCTAATAAAAGATGGGTCAAGTGCTGGCCTCAGTTTGCTATAAACAATTAACAGGTAGAAGAAAGAGCATAGAGCTGAGAGTCCTGCAGGAACTTGAGTTAGAATCTTAGGACCAGGGCTAGAGCTTGAAGAGACACTAGTTTCCTTCTCCTATCTGATAGGTGAGGAAGCCGAGAGAGAACATAAGTTTTGTCAAGGGCTTAGGAATGGCTTTGGAGTCAGCCTGGACTGGATATAGCTTTGGCCAACTCACCGAAACTCTCTAAGGCTCAGTTTACTCATTTGTTAGATGGTGATAATAATACTGATACGTACTTTATAGGACTATTGTTCAAAGGTTAAATGAGGAAATGCATGGACAGTGCCTGGCATAAGCAATTTCCCCGTAGCTGATGGCTACTATTGTTACCAGAGCTGGGACTGAAACCCACGGGTCTGGACTCTTGCCTTCTCAGCCTCATGGAGAGTGCCCAGCGCCAGGGCGTGGTTGTACCGGAGCTGGAGTTTGAGGACGCGCCATCCCATCCTCACGTCTTGCGGTTGGAGATAGCCAAGAGAAACGCGCGGGACGAAGGGAAACTAAGGGGTTAAGGCGATGAGCTTGAGAAAGCCCAGAAAACTAGAAAAGCGACCCCCTCACCCCCACCCCCGGCTTAGCCCAGCTAAGTAAGCCCCTCCCCTTCGCCACCGGGGCGGTCGCCGCGCGCTCCATCCCTCCGCCCCTCGCTTACAAGACCTAATGAGCTCCCCCGGGAGGCCGAGCAGCGAGCCCGGCCCCAAGCGAGGAAGCTGTGCCGCGCGCACAGCGCCAGGGCGGGAGCCGGGCCTGGGCGGCGGGCGGGAAGCGGCCGGGGGCGCACGGGCGGCGCTGCGGGCCGCCCGGGAGCCGCGGCGATGGCAGTCCAGGCGGCGCTCCTCAGCACGCACCCCTTCGTCCCCTTCGGCTTCGGGGGCTCTCCTGACGGGCTGGGAAGCGCCTTCGGAGCCCTGGACAAGGGTTGCTGTTTCGAGGACGAGGAGACCGGGACACCGGCGGGCGCGCTGCTGGTGGGCGCCGAGGGCGGGGACGTGCGCGAGGCCACCCGCGACCTGCTCAGCTTCATTGACTCGGCGTCCAGCAACATCAAGCTGGCGTTGGACAAGCCCGGCAAGTCGAAGCGG